AAATAACAAATAGGACATATTTCATTGATAGTAAAGAAGTTATTAGTGACTGTTTTGACAAAGAGCATTTAAGTAAGATTAGTGCAGTTACAGTTACGAATATTAAAAAAAGTAATGGAAGTAATGGAAATAAAATGATTGTTGCAGTTGGGAATGAAGAAGGAGTAGTTAGTATTTGGGATGTTAATAGTGAAAAAATTGAAGGAGAATACAAAGTAATGAATAAAGTTACATGTCTTAAATTTTATAAAGAAGAACTTATTATTGGAACGAATGGAGATAGTATCAGCATTATTAATATTAATAATCAAGAGAAAAGAACAATTAAAGGAAATAAAAGAGGAGTTAATTGTATTGAAGTAGTAGGGAATAGATTAATTGTAGGAAGTAGTGATGTTAAAGTATATGATATGGAAGAATTAAAAAAAGTAGTTAAACAAAGTAATCATTTAGATATGACTAAAGGAATTGTTGGAATAAATAATACGGAATATATAACATATGGAAATGAGAAGAACATTTATCTATGTTCTAATGAGACGAGTATTCCAATTCAAAGTTTTACAATAACAGGAAATCCAAATAAAGTAGAGGGGATGTATGTCAGTGATAATAATATATTAATTGCAGGATTAATAAATAATGGAAGTATTGATATAATATTATTTAAAAGAAATTGTAGAAAAGCAAAACCAATTGGAACGAGTTGTAGAATTCAAATTAATAGAGAAATTGATGATTTAGTTATTTATAGTGATAGAATAATGATTATTCAAAGGATGGAAGAATTAAGAGTTGAATATATCAAAATAATGGAAGAAGGGAAACTTGTTAAAGACAGTGAAATCAAAGAGATAAGTAAAAAGATTGAAGAAGGAATGATAGGAAAGAAAAATAAAGAAAAAAATAAAGAAATGATAAATGAGTCTAAAGAAATGGAAGTTATTGGAGTGGATGAACAAAAAGAAGAAATTGAAACTACATTTGAACGGAAAATGAAAGTTATGGAACAACTTGGAACTAAAGAGCCAGAGAATGTAACATTAAGTAAAGAAAGTATTGTTATGACATTAATTAGAGGACTTGAAAGTAATAATAAAATTTTGATTGAAAGATGTTTGTCTATAGATGAAGAAAATGTAATTAAAAAAACTATTAATAATTTACCAAGTAAATATATTGTTGAATTATTAAATATTGTGTGTGATATATTTAATAATAAACCAACAAAAGCATTTACAATGACATTATGGTTAAAATCAATATTTGAACAACATTTAGCATATTTAATGAGTATTAAAGATGTTTCAAAAAGTATTGGAAAATTATATGTCATTGTTGAAAGTAGAACACTTTCATACAAACACTTATTGAGGCTCTATGGAAGAATGAATTTACTTTTGTCTCAAATTGATAAAAAGCAACAACTGAAACAAGACCAAAGAGGTGGTACATATAATGAGTCATGTGAAGAAGAAGAAGAAAAGAAAGAAAATCTTGAAGACTTTGAGAATTCAATTGATATGGATGATAATTTATATAACTCAACGTCGGGGAATGAAGAAGGGAATGAAATGAGTGAAGAAGAAATTGAAAACGATGATTTGTCTCTCTAAAATGAATGGTTTTTATAAGATTAAATTACTTTTAGTTTTAATTAAGATAGTTTAAAAGAAGAGATGAAAGAGAAGAAGAAATGAAAAATAAAAATAAGAAAGACATATTTATTTCAGAGAAAAGGGAAAAAAAAAGAAAAATAACTACGAAGAGGGATTGAGAATAAAAGAATGAGATAGAAATAGTTTAAGAATAATAAAAGGGAGATATAAATATGAGAACTTTTAAAAAAAATAGAATTGAAGAATAAATGGGAGGAAAACCATCAAAACAAGAAGAACAAAAGAAAGAATATACAGGACAACCAGAAGGAACACCTTATTATGACATTCAGGGATGTGAATTGGCTAAAATGGTTAGTACTAATAATAAAGAAATTTATGACAAATATGGAGGGGTTATAGGAATTAGTAAAATTCTTGAAGTTGATGTGGACAAAGGAATTTGTGATGAATCATACAGTAAAAGACAAGAACAATTTGGGAAGAATAAAACACCAGACCCAGTTATTGTACCATTTTGGAAAATTTGGTTTGAAGCACTTCAAGATAAAACACTTATTATTCTTATTATTGCAGCAATTGTGTCATTAATATTAGCATTTGCTGTACCTAACTCAGTTGATAAATGTTTAACTAAAGAAAATGAAGAAGATAAAGAATTTAATACAGATTGGATAGAAGGAATAGCTATTTTAATTGCAGTTCTTGCAGTTTCTCTTGGAGGGTCAGCATCAGATTATTCTAAACAAAAGAAGTTTTTAGCTCTTTCACAAGAAGAGAAAGATGTTGGAATTAAAGTTATTAGAAATGGAGAAAATCAAAAAACATCTATATTTAATTTAAGTGTTGGGGATATAGTTAATTTAGATGTTGGAGATATTATTCCA